GAATAATTTTTAAATTGAAATCAGTTTTCACTTCTAAAATTTCAATATTGATTAAAAAAGATTAGATAGAGATAGTGGTATTAAAATATATAAAATTATTCTAATTCGGATATTTTAATATTCAACTTTTTAAGAACCGTGACAGGGAAATATAATTTTTTTTCGATCGTACTTTATCTTTCTGCTAATACATTCATTTTATGAACTTACAAGAATCTCGGGATCCCCAATTCTAGTGTGTAATCAGCGAATTTAGTATAATTTCTGGCAAAACGTTTCGCAAGCATCAACTGAAAACACCTGCATACTCGTGATATTGAAATAATTTTAAATTTATAGCGTGAAAAACGAAAGAAAAATTGCTTAGCTCCTTGTACTATTAATTAACTTTCTTACTATTACACAGCACACAACATAATATCCTGTTACTTTTTCTGGTATTTATGATCTATTGATTGCCAAGATATTCTCAATATTGCCACAGACCTAGTGCACCTTGAATATATCACAACAGATAAAGATACTAAACTGCATAATAAGGAAATTTGAATTTAAGAAAAACACGATTGTTTACATTTCATTTAGAAGATAGCACATGAAATATCTACAAATTTATGTTGTAAATATAACATATACAGGGTAGTTGGTAACTGGTGGTACAAGCGGAAAGGGGGTAATTCTACGCGAAGAAAGAAGTCGAAAATATAGAATAAAAATTTTTCGTTCGAGGCTTTGTTTTCGAGAAAATCAACTTTGAATTTTTGCTCGGTACTCGTGCACTTTATCATTTCTCGTTATAACGGATCTTACTGTAAATCGTTGTCTCGATGGAAAAATTAAAAAAAAACAAAAAAAAATTTTTATTCTATATTTTCGACTTCTTTTTCCTCTGTAACCACCCTCAACCACCCTATATATTCTATTATACATGTTAAATATATTTACAGAAACCATTCCTTCTTTGTCCTATGAGCATTCGCTTCTAAGGAAGCGCGTGTTTAATGCAGTGTCCAAACGAGCCACTTTCCATTTCCTTATAGGCAATCTTTAAGAGCATTTACCTCGCATCAAACAAAAAGGAGACAAAGAGAGAAACTACAGGAACAAATTATCCTCTCAGAAGTTATCTATTTTCTATACGTATTTGTTAATTTATAAAACTGTAGTAGTTGCAACGTGTGATCGATATCAATTTTATTCTATCGTTTCGCTACGAGCCAATGCCAACGTTTCACAGTAATAACTTTTGATTTCTGCAATTATCATAATTAACGTTCTTTCGGTTGCCGCGTCATTACTCTCCTTTCTTTCATTTCCATATTACTATACATCTTGGTGAGTCAGCCAGTCAACTTTTACAACATCATCGAATGAGATTTTGTTCGATTTGATCGACGCAATTATACGAAGCGTAGTGCTCAAAGTCTAAGAATCATTTAAATAAAATATTTGACAAATTATTATTTACTTAAATATATACATAATACGAAAATTGAAAATTATGAAAATTGTCTTTAAATTAAATCCATTATCCTATTCGAAAGTACCGACTAAGATAAAAACCAATTTCAAGAAATGAAATCATTTCATTTAACTAGCCTTTACATAAGCTAAAGTTACTTCTCTTTAATTATTTTCAAAATAGAAAGATAATAACTTCACTAAAATTCTCATTATTTCAAACGAAATCTTGTACTTTAATTATTTCTTTTTAATTAGGAAACCTGCTAATGGCGATGTTCCATTGCATAACTTCACTTCAATCAAGTAAAAATGTAATTTCATCATGCACGTGGAATGAAAAGAATCGCCAATTGTTTTAATATCCAGCAGTGAACATCGAACAACCTTCTATTTTTGAGCAGTTCCGTGGAAACGTAGTTCTTACTTACGATGGACTTTCTCCGCCCATTTCCGCAGAATGTATCCTTTTTTCTCGTCAAGCCTTTCGAATATCATCGAAGAACTTTCCTCGCTGATGGTTCGTGCTGCATTTTTTGGTACGTTGTGGAACAAGGCATGCATGATTAATTAACTTCGCAAGAACAGTCTCTCTTCCATCTCGATCATTCGGCTTTGTAACTCCACTTGTTCGCTGGGTCTCTGTATCGTCGACTTTTTCAAACTCTACGGAACGCAGAAGATAATTAAACGGAGACGTCGAATAACATTCTAAAATATATTTATCACGTTTTAGGAAAAAATGATTTTTCAGTTACACTGTTCCATAAGTTTCCAACGTTCAACGTGCTTCTTGTGTTCAATATTATACACGTCGACTTTTAAAGAAATATCTGCCACTTGTATTCACTGAAACGATCAGAGGACTGTAGAACGTTGAACTTAAAACGTTCACCAAAATACGCTGTATAGATCGTTTTCGAGGTTTCCATACAACCGGTGAAAAGTTTGGGAAAGTAGCGACATTCACTGTGATAGTTTATCAATACAGCGGTTTGGCAATAAAATTATTGCTACTAAGAAATAATAGGTCTCATTTATATTTTATACGATTTTTGTGTGAACGGTGTATCTACAATTTTTATACTAATACCCGAGTTTTAGTGTTCTTATTTTAATAAAATAAAATCTTCTCAGGTTTTGTATGCATAGAAAGCTTTTGATCGTTGGGCTTCTCAGTTTTCTCGGTAGCAACTAATCTCTACTTAATCTCCGGTGAAATTAAGCAATTGAGGGTAAAAATACGCGGAGTATGTAATTTATTTCATTTTTTCTTCCTGGATTGTTTGTTACAAGTGCATTGTGCTGAAGGTTTTTCTGTTTTTACGTAATGCATTCTTTCAACCTACGTGTAAGGGAACAGAGATTGTTTTATGATAAAATAGTTATGAATGTGTTATAAAAACTTCATTATATTTCGAAGTTAATATTGATTAATTCCTGTATTTATATGTTTCTATCAAATATTATATCTAGATCGCGAAGCATATGCAAATTATGGTCTTAGATAGAGATTACATAAATCCCTATTAAATGGCGATTAACTGCACCAAGTACATTTGGACCAAGTTTGGATATTCTACTATATATTTTAGCGTATCGTATACATTTTGTATACTTCTATCTATACTTTCAAATAAACGTAGAGACGTCTGTGCTCTAATCCTAACTGTATAAATATTACGAAATCAAATTTATAAATATATATAAGTACCATCTTTCTCAACTGAGTATTGCAAAATGATGTTGCAATCGGTCGACTTTTGTATAATGGGTGCAATAACACTTCATTGCCGTTTGAACGAGATACAACTGTTAGTATATTAATTACGAGCATGCTTGAAACTGAAATTGATGTAAAGGAAAAAGATTACGTTCTTGGAGTTCTTTGGGTTAAAGCAAAAACTTCCTGCTTTCGTGTTTCTGTTTCTCTTGAGAAGTACGTGTCGTAATGATGGTAACAAGGATCTGGTAATTTCGAAAATTACCGTGATTTTTCTGGTCCGATAAAAAAAGCCGAGGTTGCCCCCTTAGAAGTCTGGTTTATGAGGTTCTTAGAGTTCGTTTAGAACGTATTATGGTTCCCTTCTATAATGTCCACATAATATCCTCTAATTTTGCGCATTAGCTGACATTTTTTCACACTGATCGATTTAATAAATTTTCGCCTCGAAAACAAGTTCCGCGAATCGTGTTTTCGCAACGAGGGGGCAACGTTTCTGAAAATTGCGTTTAACAAGGTTGTCATCGAATATATTCGAATGCTGATAGGATAAGTACATGGAACGTTCTATACAGTGACTACTAAAAGCAGAAACTTTTTACTAATGATATATACCTAATAACATACGTAATAATAATATCAGTAATTTTACCAATTTGTAATTTTATTTTAATTTAAATTATACATTAACTCGATTCTGCTATGTAGTATCTAAAAGATCTTAAAACAAGGTGATAAAAATGTAATACATGATAAAATGTATACATACGAGGATCTCAGAAGAGACTCGATAAAATCTTGTATTGAATGAAATCGATCGTACACGTATATTTTCATTGAGATGCACATACGTACACGAGAAGTGAGGATACAGCTGTAGATCTTACAACTCTTACAATTTACGGTTTGCCCTGTCGTATTTTTATAGTTGAAAGTTCAGGGATACAGCAGATGGCATCTACTTCATCCGAGAATGTTTCATCAAAGCTCGATGATTTTATTGCTACTTCGTATTATCGATAGCAAATATAAATTTTTACTTCACTCTAGTAAATATTTTTGCGGCCATTATTAGGCCCCGTCAATAAACATTGTTCGTACCAATTCTGGAAGATCGTTTGCACGTTATAAACATAGGTATGCACAATCTATATGCAAAGCAGTCGCTTACGACACGTATGACGGAATAGCTTTTGTTTTTCTATTGAATCATTACATTCTGATTTGCAGATAAAGAGACTTTGAAAGTCTTTGGAACTGTATTCTCTTTTTTTTATCCCTTATAGAATGGCTCTATGTTTCTATCTATAATTAGAAACATTAGGTTTGTCGGAGAAGCATACGAATAACTTACATTTAAGTAGCTACATCGTTCATTTCTTTTTCTAATTCTTATCATATCCTTCGGAAGAGATTTTCTACAAATAGAAAAATATAACATTTATAAATATATACAAATATAATATATAATATATTACATGCAAAATGACCAAAAGAACGCAACAGAGGGGTAAATTCTTAAAAATTAAGTTAAATTATTTTGCTCGCCATTATAATTCTCTACCTTTCTTGGAAGTATCATCAATGACAGACTTTACCGTCGATCGTCGATCCTCCATTATCGTTCTCCCTATTGTTGCAAATCTCGGTAACCTCGGACACCCCAGTGTCCGCAGCTTCTTAGATCGACTTTGTAACGAAGTTGCGCCAGCGACGCATTCTTGCAATCGGCCCAGATAATATCCCGAGGGCCTCGGTGGTTCGCTCGTTACCGGAGGCAGAATTACTTTAAAAGTAGGTAGTCACCGGCCGTCTGCTTAGCCGACCAATTACACCGGCTCGACTCCGAGTATATAGAAGAGCAACGGTAGCTCCGTCGACTGATTTCCGCTCGTAGACCCGCGAACCGAGCATCCACGTTCATCATTTTCTCGCAGCCAGCCATGAGACTTCGAGTGAGTGCATGAAACCCTTCGACTCTGCTCAAAATCGTATCATGGTGATCCTAGTTTTTTAACTTTATCTTCTATTTTCTATCGATGTTAGATACAGCATATCAAGTGTCGAATATTTATATTGTTCCTTTACGATAGTCTTTAGTGAGTGACACGTATAAGTTGCAGTGTATTTGTGCTGCAAAGGGTTGTCAGTGATGGATCGCGATTTTACCGATACGTTGAGTCGATGAGTCGAATGTTTACGAAAAGTGAATACTACTAGTTAGTGTTCAGGAACGAGTAGTTTCTTTTCTTGTTGCTTTTTATCGTGATAAGCTCGAGTAGGAAAAATAGCAGTGTCGGTATTATGGTACAAAATTGTGTTTTGTAGATGCTTGGCACAGTCACTTGAATTTTTCATGTTGTTATCATTTGTGTCATTCGAAGAACTTATTTGCATGGAGAAATTTATTTTAATTTAGTTTTATATCTGGTAGTTTGTTTTATGTAGAAAAGTTTGTTTAATGCCGAGAGCTTGGTTGATTTAGTTATTTCTTTTTACACATTTGTAGACTTTTTGACAATTTTAATTAATTTAATGAAACTAGTAAGTAAACTAAATTAAAATTTTTTAGATATTTCTTTAAGTACATGAATCCTCTCACGTAAATCAGAATTTGATTTATAGTTTAAAAGCTTTATTACTTTATCTGTTTAGGATCTTGTTAATTACAAATCTTCTAATAGTTGTAGGTTATTTGAAATTGAAAATTACAGTAAATCGGAGCAGTTTGAATTATATTTGTGAAACATTTGTTACAACTAATTATTTCTAATTTATTTCTCTAAAAATGTATTCTTCTAATTTCTTCTTGGCGGCTATTCTGTTCCATGCATGTAAACAGAACCGTGAACAGAAATCGTGAATTAATTATGTAGTGGCTTAGCATTACGCTAGTTCAAGGTTCGATTCACTCATGCATGTTTCTTACTCTAAACTAGACGAATTCTCGTTTTTAGTATTAATAAAAGAAATAAAGATTGATTTTAATACTATGATGCATATAATCTGATATACTATTATAAATGTTGTAATTTATTATACGTGTGCATGACATATGATCGTGTTATAATATATACAAACTTCGTTTAGAAAAATTAATTTTAAAATATACAGAGTGAGATTCAATCTTGAATCAAGATAATCTTGAATCGACCGTAGGATCTTCCGAACAGATTTCTTTTCTGAAATTACACAGTAAAATTTGATTTCAACGAAGTTAATTAGTTTTAGAAGAAAATAATTATTAGTGAAAATAATTTCTAAAAGAGTAATGAACTTCAGCTTTGAGCAAAATTCTTTGTACATATGTATATAATTTATCATTTAAATTTTAGATAAATATGTATATCAATTATTGACAAAAATCTTACATTTTACTTACATGAGATTTAATTCTATCAAACGTTCAATTATAGAAAACAAATTGTTCAACATAAAACGAATGACAGGTAAGATTAAAAATCTGAAAAATTACAATTAACAATCTATATAGCTTTTAGAGCTGTCACAATCTAGAAACATTTAAAATTCCGTAACAACATCAACCGAACTACTCTAAACCACGAATATGCATAATTCATTCAAGCTAATCGGCGATCCAATATTCAAATCGATATTACGAAAGAAATCGTTTATTCGAGCCTAAACGTAGTCAGCCTTAATTTCCCACAGTTAAAAGTTATTAAACAGTCGTTCTGCGCGGTTCATAACGCTGGCGAACATAGTCTTAACTTTATGATAATTTCGAACGATTACAGAAGAAAGTGAAACTGTTTGACTGCAAAGACCCTCGCGTGGATCATTCTGTATAGCACAGAGTCAAGTTGATACAAAAGCGGGACAAAGGCGGAAACGTTTCTGCTAGTCAAATGTTTTATTGAACAAAACGATCGTACGAATTCGCTTCCGGGTGAGACGTCGTCGGTGGCGTTGATTTCCAATGAGCCGCGGAGAAAGACGACCGTCTAGGAAGACTTTACTTTCTAACGAATCCCATTACCTATTACAGCATCGCTGCGTTCGTCCTTAGAGAAATGGAGAACCTTCACAAAGGTGGGGAGCCTTCTCATAAGCAGTAATTTATAGGCGATTCAATCTGTTCGCAGATCCTCTTTATCGTTTTGGTTTCGACGACGGTGGCGCAAGAACAGAACGCGCAGCGTTCTGTTCGTACACCTCAGGCGCAAATTAAGTACCATGATCCAAATGGTGAGTAGAGCTAAGTTGAAAACTTGGACAATTAAATATTTTTTATGAATAATAGAGATCAGCTACTCAAAATCGGAATTATTTTTCCTGATTGAATGTACGAACTGATCGTGATTGAGTTGTTTAGACGATTGTCTTTGGTTCTCGAACAACTTAATTGGGTGTTACTAATGTACATATTGTACCGAGATAGAGTAATTGCTAGATAGTTGTGTAATTGTATATCGTTTGTTTGCCACGTGTATTGTATAATTGATGTAATGATTATGTAATTGTTTTCGTAAGAGGTTTAGAAAATTTTAGATTCAGGAAGTGTCTTTTATTGAAGATGATTTATGTATAAGGTTTTATTCGTTGCTAATGAAGATCTGAACATTAATTATGTATATATTATGTGTGTTAGATGTAGTATTAGATATAAAGATATTTAGAATTTAGTTAGATGTAGTATTAGTATTAGCTACAAAGATATGCATTTGTGCGAATATCTGCAGATTGCTTATCACACAACCAAAAACCGATTACTAATTATCACGCGCATCTTCCTTTACAGGCCTGAAGGTTGATTGGAAGTTCTTCGGCGCGCAGAACCAATTCCACTCTCGCCTAGAAAATTCCCAAATTCCTCAACAACAAGAATTAGCTCATCCTCAACAATCAGCTCATTCTCAACAATCAACTCATCCTCAACAATCAGCTTATCCTCAACAATCAGCTTATCCTCAACAATCAGCTCATCCTCAACAGTCACACGTGAGTCAGCAACAATCTCAATCTGAACTCGTGCAAGTCGAATCCGACCATTTGGAACATAGATCGTACTTACAACATCAAACTCAACCGGAACCTCAGCAAATTCCCAACCAGATACAATACAAGACATTCGCTCAACCTCAACCTGTACAAGAACTACCAGATCCAAACCAACTTCAATACAAAGTCTATCCACAACCTCAAGCTCCGGTGGGACCTCAATCTGATCACAATCAAGTTCAATACAGATACTCAAATGCTCCGTCTCACGCGAAACAAGTGATTCTAGATGACTTCAAGCCACAAAGTATCCATCCTGACTCAGCCTCTTTCGCTTATCCATCCAATGCTCCAATTGCTCAACAATACGATCAGCAACCAGCAAATGCTGGCATTTCTCAATACGAACAAGAGAATTATGAACACGAGGAACAGCAGAAATCCAGAAGAGACTACGCAGATAGAAGTTTGCAAGGCAAAATAGTGTACAAAGAGGACTACGAGCAACGAGAGCAACAGGAACCACAAGTGGAACATATATCAGTGCCAGTCGAGAGGCTACCGCCGCCAATTCCTCAAAAATTGGTCATCGACAAAAACATGCCAATGGAGATCCAACAATTGTTGCAGTATCAGGCACGGTTACCATACGAAGTTATCGCGAATAGTATTTCTTACAAACCAAAATCGTTGTTCGTACCGAAACCGTTTCCAGCTGAGACCAAAGGGCCATATCGGTATCGAAGCAAGGTTTATTACGTAAATAACGATCAGTACGAAGGCGACTATGGGACGGCTAAGCCTGTTGAAGAAAGTCAGAGGCATTGAGAGGACTGAAATATGAAACAGGTGGAGTTTATTTGGTTTATTTGGTGGATCGACGCGTTGAGATTGGCGGGTGGGGAGGATTGAGGGATTTGAGGAAAGGGTATCTGGGGATGGAATTTGGGGTTTAGAGCTACTTGTAGTTAGTATGTTGGATTTTGTGACTGTTTAGATTTAGTTTGAATTCAGTGTTGGAGGAAGTGAGGCAATAAACTATTTTATTTTATTTTCGCATCTATTTCATTATTTTAGATTTTATTCATTTAAAATCTGGAATAAAATTGGATATTTTGTTGAATTTAGCATGAAACGAATATTCGGAAATCTTATTTTTCTGTCGGTATACAGTGAATTTGAATAACTCAGTTCATTTTTGTTACAGTTCTACTTTAAATTATTCTTCATCGCTACAAATTTTTAGAAATAATTATTTATCACTTTTATAAATTTACTTACAATCTCATTTTAGAATTTTCATGAACACATTCAGAACAAATGTTTGTATTAATGAAACGTTCTGTATTTTTTATACAATCATTAAATAAAGTTATGAGAAGATATTGTTCTGAAAAGATTACAGAATATCTTTGATCACGCTTGTTTTCAAAGTTATTAGTTACTTGTGATAAAATAAGTTGCCAAATTAAATTAAAATATTTTCCTCAAACCTTCAATTTTCTCCGTCGCACAGAAAAACTGCTGAAGATTAATATTCTTCGTCTTGACGCGTTAAAAAACAAAGACAGGTTTACACTTCCTGGCTAAATAACGAAGTGTACTCTGGTAATTCCAACTTTCAACTTTAACATCTTTTTTTGTTCTTTTCTATAGCTTTAAATAGATACGATTATTTGTTAATCTTTCGATTTGGATAATAACTGAATTTATAAAATTCAATTTTATAAATTTTATCGTACGTTTAGAACAAGAAACATAACCATAAGTAGAATGTATAAAATTAATTACTTTTAGAAGTAAATACTTTTTCAGACCTTCTTTACATTCCAACTAAAAGAATTAATCTCTACATAATTTATGTCGCTATACAATTCACACTAATTTAACAACTATAATTCATTAATTACAATTGATTGTAAACAGAAAATAACAAGTACAATCTTACTTTTATACAAAAACTGTATGTTTATTAACCTTACCGTAGTCCTCGAATCTTTTAATTCTAAAACAACCTCTCGTGTACGGTTGAAACAAAAAACCCGAAAACGCAGAAATATTTTTTCATATTTTCCTGACATTTAATAAACCATTTAACTATAGAAAAACGCGATTCTATCGAAAGTGATCTAAAGGATGTAGCAGGGTTAAAATAAAAGAAAGCAACTTTGCTCGGATACTTTCTATCCCACCAAGTCCTTCGCTTTATCGTGCTGGAACGTTTTCCCATACTGAAGTGGAAATCATTCTTCGTTTCCATGAAAACGTTTCTCGCGTGTCCGCGCGAACGAATGGACGTGGCGTGAACGGAACTTCCGGCGTAAAAGTAACTCGACCGTGATTACGAAATGGTTATCGATCTCTTGAGAACCGCTTCCGAGCGGAATTTATTAAGATCGTAGCTCAAGGAAGAATATTTTCGCGGGTATTGCCGATCTGCTCGGCTACTCGTTAATAAATCTGCTCTCATTAAGTGTAACGTAGAAAGTCAGATGGTTTCCACCTTTCTAATAAAGACGCGTGCTCGAACCACGATTATAGAAAGCGATACGTGATATCGAACGTTGATCGACAGATGGAAAATAAATACAAACGATTTGTTTGCATCGATGATCATAGGATCTATCGTACCGATATTCCTTGAGATATCAGATGATATCTGGATAGAAACTTGGACTTCAAGCTTCTGGAGCTTATGAACAGTATAAGGAAGTAATGATACGTAATTCTTGGCCTCGATGTCGGTTCGTTAATTAGATAAAGAAGTGGAAATATCTGCGCGTAACAAATGTTCTAATTAGAAGACTTTTCTTTTTCCGATTGGAATTTGGTGAAATCACGTAGAATTGCAATGGTTTTTTTTTTTTTTTTTGATTAGGAAAGCAATTGAAATTTTTGTATCGTAGATTTTCTGACGGAATATATTAATTGTTTTCTTAGATTTCTGTATGTTGTGTTTTATGTTATTGTATCTATTTTACACTATTTGAAGTGGAGTGTAAATTTCTCCAAACATAAGGAATATGATACTCTGTGGCTTCGTACGTGTCGTAATTAAAGTGATAATCGAAAGCTGAATTTATTTCATTAGATTTCGCAAGTAAAATACAATTTAATTGCAGAAGAGATAAGTAACAGAAACGTAACCAATAATTCTATAATAATATTTCTGAAAGTTTCACGTTTGAACGTTTTCTACTGTTAATAATTCACATATAATAATTTGTAACATATCTCAGAGGCTCTTTTTTTATTATCACTCGTAAAATAATACTAGTGCTTTCAGTAATTTAATTAATTTTGATCTTCAAATTCTTGTTAATTAAAGTTTCAATGAATTTCAAATTATTTAAAAGTAAATATTTAAATCTGAATTTAATTACGACACTTCATGTTCATTCGAGTTTCAAATAGAGAATAACTTTAACAAATGTTCTCGTATAATAAATAATTTTCGATGTGATAATAGAAGAATAGAAACAAACCATTTCTCTAAATTATAAACATTTGTTATGCATTGTTGTATACAAATAAAATGACGATTGAAGATTTGGTGATAACAATAAGTCAAGAATATGTCGCAAAATTTTCATGACATGCAAATACAATATACAATCAAGTATAACATTTTCATTATTGATCGAACACCTCCTAGAAGAAAAGCTGCAAACATATAATTAACTTAAAACATATAATGAAGTACACCACATAACCATCGACCTCGATGTTGAATAAATCCTTTCATCACTCAGCAAATTATAATTTATCTATCTGTTACCCTCCTTATTTGTTACACGGACGAAATTATAATGATTATAATTTCATCGACCTTTTCTCAGATCGACGAACTCGAAGACATGCTGGTGAATTATGCATTTGTGTCTGTGGTCAGTGGAAAAACGAAAGTTGCAGCGCAGCAAAGTACATTGAACGCGTGTATGAGTGTAATCGCAATTGTCGAGAGCAACGCGAATCCGTTCACGAAGCGTGAAGGCCACGAGACCGATTTACATGCTCTTCCGTGTTCAGAGAAATGCTGTCACTTTCATTATGAAACCTAGCAACACAAATTTTTCGTAAAATTCTCAACGTACGAGAAAATATATGAACTGAGGAGAACGATATCATGAGTTCGGTTCTGTTTAGTCCAGGCTACCTGTAATTAAAAAGGTCTCACCTCGTTTGCAAGTGGTGCAATACCGTAAGACCGGAAGTTTTGCAACGGACAGAGACATGGCAATTAATCCCTTCGCCTAATTGATTCATTCGATGAAATAGAAAATATATTTAATAAATTAGAAGTTATCTTAGTGATGTGCGAAAGGATAATCGTTTTCAGTTTTTGCACTTTCTTAGAGTGCGCAATTTGCTTTTTTTTCTGAATGATTTATCAACTAATAATATTGGAGAATTGACAGATCACAAATAATAAATGGTAGATTTCTCTTTTATAACTTTACAACTTCAAATGAAGTAGAAGAATCAACTGATTTGTGATTGATAAAATATAGTTTTAGAATTTCATGTGTTTTACTACCAAGCTGTTTATTGTTGTGTAAGAGAATTTATTGGTACTACAGTAACGTGTATTTTGCAACTTGTACGATTTCATTAATAATAATATTTTTTAATAATCTGCTAATGTTTCAGTAGTTTAGTAAAACATTAATTTCAAATTGTTCAAATAGATGTGCGTTTAATTTACAAGAAACTACAGGCAACCGTGAATCATGAGATATTTGGTTTCATTCTAGATCCTGCGAGAACAGGAAATCGATGGGATCAGCGTGACTTGATACGTGAAACGTGATTGTATTATGCTTTCCTTTTGCTTTTCGTATTTTGTTCGGATCCTTCCATTCTCTTCCGGCAAGATTGAATAAGGAGAATAAAATCTTCGATATGATACGATACACTTTAACAAGATTGCAATACATTGTTCGAAACGTAAAAACCATGCTGCACGGAATATCTTGTACTAGTACGTGATCATGCTGAGTTGGTAATTTGTGACTTTACGACTTCCTTAAGTACTTTCTCATTCATTTTATGCCGTGAAGGTTTATTTATTTCTTATTTAATCTGATGCAAATACGTTCACATACATCTTACGATCGTGTTTCAATGAAATTGATCCGAAGAAGAGTTTTACTATAATTGCATGTTGGTTATTTTCATGAATATCTAATGAGTAAGTTAGAATAGTAGGATAAACGAATTGTCAGAGTTAGTCACAGATTCACTACAGAAGCTAATAGTCAATATAGAGGCTGGAATTTATTCTTGAATACGAAGATAAATACCTGCTGTCATGCGTTACGTAAGGTCTTATGGCAACTGCTTGTCGCATCAACTTTTCGCATAATTTGTTTAACGAAGTGTTTAATAAAAAGGGAACTCTACTACATGAAGCAATAATACAGTAAATATAGAATTCTAAATAGAATGCTGTTCTTCATGGGTGACTTATAAGAGCACTTATACATATATGAGAACATTATGTGAATATAGAATTTTAGCAGACGTCCTATATCGTTAATTGCATAAAAAGATACATAAATTTCAGATTTTAAGATTTTATGTGCTTTGTGATAGCAATTGTGGTAGATGCTTCTAATCTGTTTCTAAATAAAAATTCTTTTGGACAATTAACTTGTATTCTACCAGTCTTGCTTAATATTCGTTCTTTATCTTTTTCGATGCGTTGAGATTCCATTTACGACCTTATTCTGCTATTTCTTTTTGCCTTTCGTAGTTTCTAGTATGGAGAGAAGGTGAATTTCTTTTGGACTGCTGAATGTGAGACACATATGGAGACTATACCAAAAAGGCACGAGTCTGTTTTTGTTGATTTTCCATTTTTTATTTGATGGTTAAAGAAGCGTACTTTAATACGACTTAATTGAAATGGGCAATGACTTGTTAGTTTAGCTACTTTAAGAGGTATAAGTCTGTTACAGTAAAAAATAAATGGTAAATTCAGAAAGTTATATAGAAAATAGGGTGTTATTTATATTTTAACAATGAATATTTTTGAGATATTTCGGAGGATATCAGACATACATATTTAATCCTGAAGTTCAGAAAGAAATAGATTTAATAACAAGGAGTTGCTTAATGGTACACTGAATTTTAAGATTGTTCTTCTATAAAGAACAAAAATGATGCGTATTTGTCTTATTTTCCTTATTGTTGCTTGTTGTCTTATTTTCTTTGTTTGCAATGATTACTTAAGTTACATAGTAACCTTTGAGTGGTCGCTATCTGGGAAACGTGTCTTTAAATTCCATTCCTTGTCGACAGCTTCAGCATTTTCTAACTATGCAATCGAGTACTCCTTCACTAGAAACGAGAAACCATGTAAATGTACTTACGACGATGCGAGCTTCGTAACATTTGTTAGTTGTTGAAGTGCACATGGCTTAGGAATGCAACAGTTCAATGTAATTTCTTAAAGTGTTAGGGAAAAAATAAACATTGATGAAAGATGTAATCAAAATGCACAATTTTGTTATCACGTCTGAAGAAATATGGTAGAATTACAAGGAAGTTAACAGATGAAAGATAAACTTTTAACATGATCGGTAATGACCACATAATCTTCTTTTGTATCTTGATATAGATTAGTATAGTTGATATAGTAAGAACGATGAAAAGAATATAATTACAATTTTAATTAAATTATTTACACGTGTTAAACTAGTATTTTATCTAAATCAGCGGCTAAAATGATTTAAAAAAATAATAAATTATTCATTGTTATTATTAAGCTATTTCAGAGAATTAATGATAATAAAGCAAAATTATATTCTCAATATATTACATGGAAGTAGCAAAAATCTGTATCTCTATAGATTTTAACATGTATGTGTAATGAAAGTGAAGTAAAAGAAATCTCTTCCGTGTTATAATTAATTTATGATTTTGCTTTGTTT